CTGGATTTTTTACAAAGATTTGCTCCAGATGATTGTTTTCAATTATTACTAGGTCAGCCGTGATGTTTTTCTTAACTGTCATAAATACCTCCTCCTCGCTCGCGACAACTTATAGACGAGTCTCTGTCTTTCCTGAACATAACGTATGTGTTATCAATCACTTCTCCATTTGAGATAGATGAGTGCAACCAAGATTCACTTACACATATAACTTCGGTTTGAAGGGCAGCAGTCGATGTTAAAAAATTTTTAAATTTTGTTCTCAGCCCCCTAGTATTCTGATCATATATTACTAGTTTTTTGGTACTTTATGCGTTCGCTTGTCGATTTTTGGCATTCCATCTACGTTTTTTATGGTCTTGTTGTCATAATTTTCGGCTAAAACGTTGAGTTCGGTACGCAGTTCACGCAGATGATCACGCTGTGAAGGTGTAAGGTGCAGGATGATGTGCTGACTATTGGAATAATTAGATTTCCACCGCAACTTGGCCACATCCTTCGCCGGTGTTTCAAATAGTATGGGACGGGGACGGGGATTACCTCTCAAGGGACGACCGACCCACCCTGGTGCGAAATAAAGTCAATTGACATTATTACCTTTTTAAAAACGAAATAAAATCAATTGACATTATTTCTCTTTCAAATATTAAATTTGCTTAGCTTCGCGGCGGCCCGCGTCAGCGCGCCACACCGCGCGCGTCGCGCTCGCGCTCGCGCCCCGCGCGACCTGCGCGCACACCACGTCACGCTACGCCGCGGCCCCCCCGGGCCCCCTTCCCCGTCTCCCGCCGTGCTGTAACGCAGGTAGATTAATTTTTTGTATACGTTGAAATAAAATTTGTATATATTTTAAACATCGAGGGCTTATATTCAATAATACTCTCTATCTGCACACTTTTCACAAAGATGAGATTCTGATATAAAAATCCACCTAAGCTTTAACTGTCATCAGTGATATTAATGCTACCTTATATAACGACAGGTAATAAGTCCCAGATGGTTTCTAAAATCACAAATTAGTTTTTGTGCAAATTGCAGATAGAGGGTATTAATGAATTCAAGCCCTCGATATTTCACATTTTTATATTTGTAAGTTATTAGAAGCAGGGATGCCAACTTGTCTCAAACCGTGCCATTTGTCCCTATTTTACTTTAAATTG